CTGAAAAAGGCCTAATTGTGCCACATTACCAATTTTCGTATTTTAACGTGGCCTTAACATGCTTGAGATAATGTAGTTGGTTGGTTGGTTGATTGATTTAATGTTCGTTATTTTGAATCTTGAATCTACCTCTGCTTGGACCGTATTCCTTGTGAGTTGTGATGGTCCACCTTTAAGCCAAATAGAAGTCATCCTCATTTCTCAAACTTTTTTCGCGTTTTAAGTTGGTCTCAACCGGTTTGAGATTAACTTGTAGTTGATTGATATGTTTGTAAGTTTGAATCTTGAATCCACCTCTGCTTGAACCTTTCCGCCAAATAGAAGTCACGGCCTTAGTTTCTTTTACTTTTGGCATCACGTTAAACATTTCTCAAAAGTTTTTTCGCGTTTAAGCTGGTTCGTTGATTGATTGATTAACGTTTGTTATTTTGCAGAACGAACGACCACCTATGCCAGCAAGTTGTCAACTGGCGCTTGCACAACTTATAAAGCGTTGCTGGGCAGCTAACCCTTCGAAGAGGCCAGATTTCACATACATTGTATCTGCACTCGAAAAGTACGATGAATGTGTCAAGGAAGGGCTTCCAATGACCCTTCATTCAGGGCTAGTTAGCCGGAATGCCATTATTGAACGTTTGAAAGGCTGTGTATCCATGAGTTCTTCATCTATACCTGTAAATGTTTGAATCTTTTATCAATCAATAATAATTCTTAGTCATTTAATATATCATGCTAATTGTTCAATAGGTACATTGGTAAATTAATTAACTAGCTACTTGTGTAGTGTATATTCATCAATTGTGTTGTAGTTTATTTGATGTAACATTGTGTCTAAGAAATTCTAACACTAATGTATCTCATATAGATTTTCTGTATGTAATTACCTTATAAGTGACACCATTAATGTGTTTTTCCATAGTTTGACGGGAATGACCTGGACAAAGGGTCGCGATCTTAGTTCAAACTTGCAGGCTTTAACTCGTCGGCATAAAGCTAGAATAGTTGATAATCTCTAATCAACTATATATTAGTTAATTCATTTATGAGCCTTATACATACCGCCTGTCACACTATGGGTATATCTCATCAAAACATAACTTCTTGTACTCAAGATTAATGATGTCATATTTCAAATAACTTCGCTCATTTATAGGGAGAAGTCATTTCCTTACGCTTAGTATTAAATTTTGACTTCATATTACTTGCTTGAACTAATATATAATAATATAAATATTATTGTTAATTTTTAGAACGCAAAATCTCCATCAAAATTTTCTCCAATATTCTAATATATATTATCTATGGAAAAAGATATCCACTTCTTTTCCATAATGACAAAACACACTGATTTCAACTTTTATCTTGACTTGTTTCAGACGTAGAATTTAAAGACTCATTCAACTAGTAGATTTAATTTTGACTAAGTCACAATTCACTAAGAAGTCAAAGAAAGAAAATTATATTCCTTCTGTCTCAATTTATCTGACACAATTTGGATTTCAAAATTCAAACAAGTATATTTTTTACCGTAAATTTTTCATACATCTTTTAAATTTCAGTTTTTTTTTAAGAGTTTATGCGCAAATTTACAATCAAATTTAAACGGTTTGACTCTCGAAAAATGAAATGTGGCGCACAAATTGAAAAGAGGAATTAAGTATGCCTTTATGATAGTTATGTGTAATATTTGATTATTTGCAGTCATATATAATACTTGACTAATGACCAATTCAAAGATAAAAAATCCATGACTATCTTGTTCCACTTTAATTACGATATTTACATTAGCGATAAAGATCATATTAATTCTTGACTTATTCAGGCGTTTAACTAATTTTTGTATTTTAAATCCTTTTAATGAAAATTTTCAATAATAAATATATATTACTTAGAAATTTTGATATTTTCATGAGAAAAAAAGATTATAGTACGAAGCGTGTAGAGAATAATGATAAGGGAACCTAAGATAAATTTATTGTAATACTGACATTGTTGTAAAGAATTATAATATCATCAAATTGAAGACGGTTTTTTTTTTTAAAAAAAAAGAAGATATTTATCCAATATCTAATAATTTGATGATTGTGGGACAAAAAAAAGTATTTAAAAATGGCACATGGCAAGGTATTATAATACAAATAAATATTTAAAGATTGGGTTTTGATTATTTATATTCAACATCAAATAATTTAATGATTGAGGGAATAGGAGTTGAGATCAATGTAGTTACCAAAATAATTTTTTTTTTAAAATGACGTATGGCAAGGAATTATTAAATATTGGTTTATAATTTTTTTTATTCTATTAAAAAATATCATTAAAAATTAAATATTGGATTATGATTATTTTTATTCTATTAAAAACCACGTTTGATACATTATAAAGCGTTCCGCATTTTGATTATTTTTGTTGGAACATCAAATAATTTGATGAAGAAGGAATAAGAGTTGAGATCAATGTCCATATGACAAGTAACTATATTACCATTAAATTAGATATTGAGTCACGATTATTCTATACTATAAAAAAAATCAATTTGATGCATAAAATATTTCGTGTTCTAATTATTTTTATCCTAACATCTAATAGTTTGATGAGGGATGGAATAGGAGTTGAGATCAATGTAGTTACCAAAATAATAATTTCTTAAAAATGATGATGACATATGACAAGGAATTATTAAATATCATAAAATTAAAAGACAGTCTAACACATAAAACATATCGTATTCTGATTTTTTTTATTCAAACCTCAAATAATTTGATGAAGAAAGGAATAGGAGTTGAGATCAATGTCCATATGACAAGGGACTATATATATTACCATTAAACTAAATATTGAGTTATGATTATTTTCATACTATAAAAACAATTAAAAAAAATAATCAATCTAATACATAAAGTATTTCGCATTCTGATTGTTTTTATCCCAACATCTAATAGTTTGATGAGGGATGGAATAGGAGTTGCGATCAACTTCCTTAACCCATAAAAAGGGGGACATATAATATAGGATTATAATATCATTAAATTAGAGATTTGGTTATGATAACAACATCTAATAATTTGATTATGAAGGTTAAAGGAGTTGAGACCAACATCCTTCACCAAACAAAAAAAGAGAGGCTTTAATTAAGTAACAATAATTGATCATTATATTAATGAATAATTATTTTAATTATTAATTAAGATACTGTTGATGCAGGAGCAAGTTTGTTGGTAGGGAGAGAGGGGATCATGACCTGTCTCAATTATAACCAAAGTTTAATATACATAATTTAATTTGTTTATTACTTATCACATAAATAACATAGAAAAATAAAATAAAAGATAATTAGAATAAATTGACATCTACTATTCTATCTTTTGATGATGAATTTTTGAATGATAATTGTTTTACAAAGTCACTAGTATTATGGTGGAATCGTTGAAGTTTCTTCATGTTGATTAAAGGACTCGTAGTTGAATTTTTAAGAATGAAAAAAATCCTTCGAAAATATCGCTCTCACACATCCACTCGTGTAATTCGAATTAATGTCAAATGTAGAACACAATTTTTAGACTTTCCCAAGCCAATAAAAGGTCAATGGAGTACTTTCTTCAATTTCACAAAAAATAAAAAATAAAAAATAGTAATTGTGGTTGACCTATTCTAATTCTTCAAAGATGACAGAGAATCTCCATCCTCTTTCGTTGGCAATAAATAAACAAAATTCTCTAACTCTGGTATTTAAGTGAAAAATGATCGAAAAACGTATCCATTAATTATGAAGTTTTGAATCGTGTCACACTTCTAAATTTATATATAAGTAAACAGGGATAGAAATACGTGCTTATAAACCTATTATTTATGAAGTTCGGAATGATGCATCACTCTCTAAATTTATATTTAAGTGAAGAAAGGTAAAAAATTATTCATTATCTATGAAGTTTTCAACCGTACCTCACTTAGAGAGTTTATTTTAAGTTAAAATGGGTAAAAGGATGTGTCCATTATTTATGAAATTTTGAACATGCATCTCTCTAAATGTATATTTAAATGAAAAAATGTAGAGGATTAAAATCCATTAATTATGGACTGTCCAAAAAATTCTCTATTATCAATAAAACAAATATACTCATTTTGTTCATTTTAATTTCTCACGTTACACTTTTCGAAAGTCAATTTAATTAATTTTTAAAGTTAAATTAAATTACATTAATTTAATATTTTAAACAAAAAATTTAGATATTCAAAAACTATCCAAAAAGTACTATAAATTGTATTTTTTTTTTGCATATCAATATGATGAAAAAATACATCGTAAAATATTAGTCAAATTTCTTATAGTTTGACTCTAAAAAAAGGAAAACTATAACAATTAAAAATAAACGGAAGGAATAGTAAACAAAATTCACTAAAATTCCATTTTCCAAGAATGTAAAATTGTACTAGTATAACTAAAGATTTAATACTTTTTTAACTAGCAGTAAAAAAAGTCCAACAGAATGTATCTCCTTTACAAAACATTTCCTCAATCAAGAAGCAAACTCACTTTTTTCATTTTTGGTTTATTTGTCATCTCAATTACTCCATAGATAACTCTTAAGCAAAAGTGGAAAATAAAGGAAGTCCTAACTAGACACTAATGAAAAAAAATTATGAAGACAATAAAATTGAAAGCTCATGAACATTCAAAAAGGACCATATTTTATATTGTTATAAAGGTATTTACATAGGAACAAAGAATAAGTAAGAAACAACAAAAACCTCTATAGAAGTGAAAAATGAACAAAATCATCCATAAAGGGTTCCTTCATCCTTAATTTCGAATACGAGCTCTGAGTATGAAATCTCTTTTTGGTAAGAGCATGAATTAAGATTAGTTGAATCCTAATACGAGTATCGAACATCGAATGGAAAAAAATAAAATAGAACAAAACTATCCAACGAGGGTCGCAGTTGAGTGGTGGTAACTATTCCTTGACCAAAAGTTTTAAATACGAGTTCCAAGTATGAAATCGAGACTTTCATGCGCGAAGTCATATTTCATCGAATTCCAATACAAATACCAAACACCGGATGAAATAAAAAGAGAACCTAGATTTTCCCAATATTACCTTAAAACATTTCAGACATGCCAAACACTCCAAATACTTTCACCAAGAAAACTCACAAATCTTCTAACAGACCCTAATTCCTCTTCTCTATCACCATCATAACTTGTTGAATTTTCCTCTAAACAAATTTCAGAATTTTTCTCAATCCCACAAGAACTTCTATTCTTATTCCTCCTCTGTTTCTTGTTTTTCCCCTTTTTTTTCTCCAACACCATATTTTCAAAAGCATCTATAATCTCATGAATAAGTTGATGATTTGGAGATGAATCCCATTTCACCCAATAACTCATATAACAATTAAAACAATAGCAACTTTTGTTGTTATTGTTGTGAGTAGTACAATTTCCAAGATTATTGGAGAAATTGCTAGAAGAACAAGAAATTAAATATGACAAGATTTGTTTGTCTTCTTGAGATAAAGATGTTGTTAGTGTCAAGATTGTTGTTGGTAATAAAGAAAGTTGTTGGTCTGGTTGAGTAATTGGATGACCTGTGGATTTTCTATAAGGATTGTTCTTCATAGTCATATTTTCAAAGAAATGAAAATACTAAGGGGGGAAAAGAAGAAAATTAGAAAGAATTTATGGGGTTTTTTTGTGGTTGAAGAGGTGATGAGGTCTAGTTTTATATGATGAGAGAAAAGAGAGAGGTGGTGTATGGAAGTTGATGACAACATTTTGGGTTTTTTTTAAATAGTATATGAATGATGATAGGGTTTGAGGAGTGTTTACCTATGGACAAGAATTGACTTGTCATTCTCCCTCCGTTACAATTTATTTGTTTGATTTTAACTTGACATAAAATTTAAAAAATAAAAAAGACTTTTAAATCTTATGTTCTTAAACTAAAGATATATACTATGTATCAAATTTATACTAGTTTTAAACATGTCAATTGCCTTGTGAAAAGTTAAAATAAAAATGTAGTCAAGAATGAAAAGAGATAACCTTCTTTAAATAAACGAAAAAAGAAAAATAAAACAAATAAATTGAAACTGAGAAAGTAATAATTATTGTTCAGTCCAAAATACTAAGTTGAAGTAATCATTCACTTTTTCATTTAAACAAAAATAAGATAAAATATATAAATAATAACAAAAATAATATGAAAGTTCTCTAATAATATTATATCCTACCCTGCACTAGTACATATATCATCATCTACAATCTATATATGATGAATCTTATATTTGCATCCTATTACATCTTTGGTTAAGTCTATAGTAATCCTAAATACTATTAATATAATTTTTTATTTTAGGTTTATCGAGTCACCTGTGATGCAATGGTCTTTGACTGAGTTTGGGGATCAGTCTTACAGATTAGTTATAGGCAGAAAGAGACTTTAGGATTTGTTGGATCTTCCGAGTGTAACGTATCGAAGCGGAAGAAGGATCAAGCTAGTTTGTCTAGCAAGCTGATAGGCGAAGGGCTCAAGGATGAAACATGCAAAGTAGATCGTGCATCTACCATGCTGACCTGTTGGTTCTAAGCAATGTCTTGCACGAAGCGAACACTTAAATCACACATCATCCATGTGTCAGGTTGCATATACAATGATGAATAATAATGGAAACTATGTTTGCTGAACTATGACATAAATAACCAACTATAGAGCAATTTTGCAAGATTGAGCAAAGTTCATTGCATAAACAAGTGAACACCAAATGTATCATTCCTACAATTCAACAGCAGATACTGAACTAAAGTATTGAATCAAATAAGATACAAATCCAGCAGTATAGGGACATTTCGGAATTGTTTCAAAGAGAATTCTCCATTCAAGGTTCCAAGTACTTCAACTCATCATCGCTTACTGAACAACCAAGAAAAACCTAAGGTAGAGATCCAGCGGCAAACTTATTCACACAAAAGTGGTCATCCTGAGGTATTGATTTAAACGCTTTAAATAAATAAACTTTGGCAGATTAGCCGGCTACAACTTGCATGGAGTTGAGGTGTAGTAGTTGCTGTCGTAGATATTTATGTTTCCACATGAACAAGAAGCAACACTGAGTATATTACCTACTAATCAAGGGCCATATGGTCTAATGCTGCAGCATGATATCCCTCAATTGTTTGTTTCATATTGTCGAACTGAGAAATGACATACTCGAGTTTCTTGCAACAGATCTCGTTTGATATTCTTGGTACATAGTCACACTTCTCAAAAGGACGATATTCACATGCACTTTTGATTTCTTCTCGCAGTGTGACTTGGATGTCCTGTTGTAATTAGTAAAATATCATCCATTTAGTTCTCAAACTGATCTAGTTCCAATCAGATCTCAAGTTACAGACGGTATTTCCAGACAAAAGATAATATTAAACTGGCCATGACAACAGCAGACTAGCTAGCTCGCAACGTAAAAGTTCACAAACCAAACCAAACCAAACCAAAATTGTCCATTTTTACCTTGTATACATGGAACAAAATTTCAAATTTAATACAAACACCAAATAAATACACATAAAAGGAGGACCAAAAACAGTATGTAAGCATGAGAATAGTCATCGAATCATACATTCAAAGGCCAGGACTGACAACAAGAAAGTTTAACGGCTTCTTATTACACATTTACATGGTTTTCTATCATGTTTCTTACAAAGGTTTCAAGAATATCTAGGTGCAAAATAGTAAAGTATGTCATTACCTTGATTAGTTGCATGAACTCACTGCAATGGTTGTTAATAAGCTCCTTCCTGGGGCCGCTCGGATTTGCCATTTCATCCATTACACCTCCTGCTAGCTCCAGAACTCTGACTATCCTCTGCAAGCATCAGAGGAAGATACAGCAACAGACGGTATGTGTCAGTAATGTTTCAGTTACATTTTTTCTATAAAGAAAAGTGATTACTGATTCCCCATTGAAAGTTAAGATCATGATTTCCTCATCAAATTACAATTAGTTGTCTTTGCATTTGACGTGCTACATCACCCCCGCGTTTTAATCTGAAAAAACCAAAGACTAGGAAACAACAGAGATGCTGTTTCCTTTAGACCAGAGAAAACTCGTGTCAGGAGATATTCAGGGCATATGACAGCACGATCTCGAATACGATTTGATTTCTAACTGTTGAAGATCAGCCTGGAGTTCGTGGAAGATACTCAATGAGCCAGACGGGAAGAAAGAAACCAACAGAAGCAGAAATTTGAATAGCCATTTCAGATCCTATTCTTGGTCCACAGCGTCTTTCATTTATTCATCATTGTCGTCATCCTCAACACTATTCCCATCTTCATTCTCTGACTTCGAGTTATATTTTTTTGGCTGATTTGAGGAGTCTTGAGCTTGCTGCAATGGCCCTTGATTATCATTAGATTTTTGGGAATCAAGAGAACTGCTTCGTTTGAATCCTACAGCATCGTCATCCTATCCTCTCATGATTTCTTGATGGAGAAAAGTCCCACGGCACCTATATGGCTGGGCCTGGTAGTTTAGATAATTTCTAGGGGAGTGGTAACTAGTCAGAGGGTCGTATGGCTTATAGGATGAATAAAAAATAGAGTTGTTATATTGATCATGATCAGATTCAGATGCAAAATTGAAGGAAGAAATAGTTAATCTTCAAGAACAATGAGAAGTTGAATTTACTTGACGGTTTTAGACCCAAGATTTAAGGCTTTGTGAGGGTGGCTTTCACAAGAGCTAAATATCTCATTCCTTTCAGCCAGAACTTACTTTCTTGGAAGCTGCAGATATAGGTGGGTGACATGAAATTCTTAGTCATGGTTATCTGGCCAAGCGGCTCTTGTCCTCATTCATTTCTCTTGTCCCAGAAATCGAAGGATCCGGAACTCCAGAAGGCTTAGGAGAGCTCAATGGTGGAGTCCCTTTCCGAGGCATAACACCATCCATATATCTTCAAGCTTGTCTATGTGTTTCACCCAATCAACGAAATATGGATTTCACCTAAATTCAAAAAGTACGCTCCTCTTTCTCTTTCTTTCTTGAAACATTTTGGTATACAGGATAGGAGAGCAAGTAACAAGGACTCAAGTAAGGAAGGAATAATATTGTAGTATCAATTCTGAAATCAGAACTTTAAGTATTTTGATGACAAAGAATACCAGCTACTGAATCAATCCATCTTAAGTCAATAATCCTGTAGAAACATTTACCTTCTCAACATTTTGCAGCCGCTGCAATGAAGTATTCTGGCTTTGCGAATCCATGGTATTCTGAGGGAAGCTGTCGGGACAGGAGAAAAAGATTACTGAATCGTAATGCCATAGAGCGAGCTAGATGTGGAGAAATAAACAGAATCTATAAAACCTAATTCAGTGCAGTTTTTGGAGATTTTGGTTCTGAGGTCTCTGCAGTCAAATAATTAAGGAACAATCAGAAACCTAAATCTTCTGTAATCAATCGGAAAATAGAAGAGAAACCTACCTCTTATAAGTATTATGTCCATTAAACTTACCACCCTGTACTCTTTCAAGGTACGGGTTTGGCCGAAATCAACAACTTTCGTCCGAACTCTATATTTGTCTTAAGAAATCTATTTAATATGTATAAATTATTAATTTACAAGAGATTATTTTATCCTACATTTAGTTGGCAGGATGCAGCATAACAATCTTATGGGATATGTACTAAAATGTTGAGATTAGCTATCCCATATAGAAGTTGGGTTAGCTAATCCCATGAGAAATCCTTGTCTATTCCATCCCCCATACCCTGAACCCATAAACTTCAAATCTTACCTCCGCCTTTACCCCCAAGACCTGCTAATTATCAAACAAGCAATCCTAACATTTCAGTGTCTTCCTCTTGCATTTCTGCAAAGGGGCTATTTCCTTCAACACTCAAACTCATTGTCGGACTTGATTAATCTCCCTTTACTATTCAAACTGAATCATTTCGTTTTTTGCAATTTTCTAATTGTTCAAAAGACTTATAAATTTGAATTAATCAAATTCAAATTTTCTTGTTTTATCTCGGGGTAGCCATTCACTCAACTCCGAATGAGCTTTTTCGAATCGTTCAATTGCCCTGAACCCGAGATCTGCAGGTTATTAAACAAGCAACCAGCAAGACCTCACAAATTATGTTGCTTCTCTGTTCCAAATTTGTCCTACAATCTCAAAACCTCACTAATCATATTCCACTTACTTCATTAACTCTTTGTCATCTTCTCTTTTTTCCATTTTTTGGAGGAATTCATCACTCATAACTTCGACTGCTGCGGCTCAACCCTAAAGCCAGCCACTAAAGCAAGCAGTGGATTTAGGACCAAAAAAATAAGGTCCTCAAATTACAAATCCCTGAAGCTCCGAAAGAACCAAAATGCCCCCAAATTCAGCTCAAACGCACAACGACACATCACATCATGCATGAGAGAAACGAAGCTCAAATACAAACACATGTAAGACGTACAGGCACGAAATATTTTTTTTATTATTAAAAAAAGGAGCCAGCGAGAGGTCTGTTATCGGCATCTACAAGTGAGAAGTCAATCATACCTTACCTTCAACGGCGGCAAGTATGAGTGGCAGAAGAGCGGCAGTTGCCGGTCGGTCGGAGATAGTCTCAGCTCTGAGTTGTTGCCTGTAATTTTTATTTTTTTTTATCATAAAAGCATGTAACTAGTTTTCTTTATATATTGGATAAAATATTGCTTAAATTAACTCATAATTATTTTTATTTTTAAAAAAAAAACATTTTTTTATCTTGTTTTATATGTTATAAAAAAATTTTAAAATATTTGGTGATTAAATGAATATATTAATAAAAACTAAAAATGATCATAAGCAAATCTATTACTATTGTTCACTCTTTTTAGTAGGGGTGTGCAAAAACCGAACCGACCGATAAATCGAACCGAAAAAAGTGTTATTGGTTTATTATTATTGGGTTATTGGGATAACGGTTATTTAATGGTTTTACAAAAAAAAATTATTGGGTTATCGGTTCGTTATTGGTTTTTAATATTGGGTTATTGGGTTAACCGATAACCCATTAAGAATATAATAATTTACTATTTTAATTTTTAGTTATACATATATATAATATATTAAAAAAATATTAATATAATTAGTAGTATATTAGACTAAATATATAAAACCCTACGCAATAATTAACACTACTTAACAATTAACTCTCCTCTCTACTTTTAGTTATTTAACCTTTAGGTTTTACTTTTTAGTATTACTTATTTACTTTAGTTAGTTTATAATTGACTAATATTAGCTTTTGCACGATTGTAAATATCTGCAATTTGATTAACGTTAGGAATTCAAATTGTGTGTGTGTTTTTTTTAAAATAACGTAAGAACTTCATTTAGTTACCATAAGCATGGCCTCATTTGCTACTGTTTTGACTTTTGTCTATGATTTGGTTTTATTTGATTCTCTTTATTGCATAAAGGGGACCTCGTTTTATATATATTATGGTGATCGAAAATTAACCAAGTCTTTGTTGTGATGACCAAAATACAACAAGTTGGTCCTTGTTGTCCCGTTTGGAATGATTATTTCGATGTATGCGTATCGCGTCAAATTATTGGATAAGTCATATATTTGTTTTGAAAGCATTTTCTTATTGGTTAAACCGAAAACCGATAACAAATATCTTATTGGTTTGGTTATCGGTTTAGCATATTTAAAAAACCGATAAACCGAACCGATAATACTTATAACCGAACCGAACCGACCGAGACACACCCCTACTTTTTAGTTAAAATAAAAAAATATACTATTGTTCACTCTATTTTGACTAAAGTAATTTGAATGGATTAATGACTTGCCAGTTTATTGTTTAATCTGTTTAAACTTGTCCAAAGTTAATTTAATTTGCTCATTTAATACTCTTTTTAATAAAACATTCCTATTAAAAGACGACCGGCTACCCAAAACTCGAATCTAGATCTTTGATAAGAATAGTTAAAACAATATTTTATTTTTAGAATTTAAACACCAAATAAGGTTAAAAATAAGGATCCCAATATGCATTTGGTGGTACATATTAAATATTTTATGCTACAAAGTACTTAGAAATTAAGTGAATATGAGATATTAAAACAACAACATACTCAATGAAAATCCCACTGAGTGAGATTTTACGGTATGCACTAACAAGTCTCAACCTACGCACAACAAGACAACACTTCACCCTTACTAACCTTCTACACTAATATGTGACATTCACTCCTATTTATCTAGAGACATGTCCTCGTTAATATGAAGTTGTGTCATGTTCTGTCTAATCTCCTCTCCCAAATACATTTTCGACCTACCCCTACCCCTCTAGGTACCCCTACAATCAGCCTCTCACATTTTGTCACTAGGGCGTCAACACACCTCCTTTGCACATGCCCAAACCATCTCAGACTCCTTTCCCTTATCTTGTACACCACAAAAGCCACTTCCACCTTCTCTCGGGTAACTTCATTCCTAATCTTGTTGCTCCTAATATGTCCACACATCCATCTCAACATCCTCATGTCCACAACATGCATCTTCTAAATGTGTAACTTCTTGACTGGCCAACACTCCACCCACAAAACAAGTTTAGGTGATTTCTTCTTATAACACGACTCCAGAGACAAACCTCTTCTTCACCTGTGCCGCTCCAATGTGATGTATGACATCATCATCGATTTCCCCACAACCTTGGAGCACAACCCAAGATACTTAAAGACTTCCTCTCTTGGAAATAGTCTGTGGCAAGCCTCACTTCCGCGTAATTTTATGCAAAAAAAAACACAACTTTGAATTGCAATGGCTGGTCCATGTATATATAATTAACTTTCAAGAATAGATTTCATTTTTTAAAGATTTTCCCAAACGCTAAAAGCATTGGTTCTTTCTTATGAGAATAAAAGAAATGAATTTAGCACTCCAATGTGATTTTTTATGCAGAGAAATTATGAAGAGCAGTTTCAATCTCGATGGATAATGAGTTCACCCCTCTACTGTTCTCTACTCAAATATCAGGCTTCTTGTCTGAAGCAAGGTTCGAACCCTTAATAGGCGCCTAAACAACACATATCCACACATTGTGCTCTAGCACTTAAATGTGATGGAACAACATTAGGGTTTTTTGCTATAGTTCCCAGAAAAATCGAATCCTCTACAAAGTAAACACAATAGCTTCAGAATACAATTACATTAAGCCGGTGCCATATGAAGACACAGGCAGTTTAGTCACAACTGACACAGGGCAACATTTTGGGGAATGCCATAATGACTTGGTGCTCCTGTAGCTCACTTGCCTGACCTGTTTTTCAGTCAGAATTGTTTTCATCGCGAGCTTTCTAGCCCAAAGATAAGTCCAAAGTCCTTTCATTTAAGTCCTGTCGTTCTGGAGGTTTTCTCTTCGGATCCTGAAAGATAAAGACTCAATTTAGACACTCGTACACATTATCTCATGTTCATTGTTAGACTTGTGAAATCTGGATTGTGTTTCTAGCCATATAACTGGAGTGTATAACCAGATAAAGTTCACACATAGAAGAAAACGACAGAGGGAGAAATCATGACATATTTTCTAAAAAACACTTCCAAAGAAGCTAAAGAAAGGCATCAACAGGAAGGACAAACAAACAAAGATCAAACAGAACCAAAAAATAAAATATACCAAGTTTGGCAAGAATATTATATAGCCTTAATGTACCTGATTCTCTTCCATGGGCACGTCGTTGATATCAGGTTTTTCATCAAAACCATCCACCTGAGATGTTGGCTCCTCACTATTTGTGTCACTCTCAATTGGTTTAATATCATCTTCAGCTTGTTCAGATGCATCATTCTTTTGTTCTTCAAGCACGTTAATCTATCTCAACCATTTTAAGAAAAAATGAAAAAGTATACTCGCACAGCACAAACCAATCCTGTTATCTTTACTGACATACAAGAAGCAATCCACTTAAAGGAAAGAAATATTAAAAAAAAATTGGCACAGTGCATATTACTTTGGTTAGATCAAGTATGCTTCACCACCAGAATACGGACAATGCACAACTCACACAATTAGCTGTAGCAGATTTGATTTGACATTGCCCATTTATATCCATCAGGAAATAAGGCATACTGAGAATGTCAATAATTCCAACTACTACAAATCTATTACTTCTTAAAATCCCTGGCTCAGCTACTGTCTTGCTAATCTCCTCATTAACACAACAAAGAAAGCAGTGACATGAGAACCACATAATCACACATAAGGAAGTTAAATGGTAATTCTATTTTATCAGTAGGATATCTTAAGTGTACTTCTCAGCCTTCTGTCATGTTTGGATCTGCACAATGGAAAAGGGGAACATAGAAATGGAAACTAATGAATTATTTGGTCTTGCTCTTACATAGATTAGTCAAACTAAAGTAGGAGAAAAGGAAGGGAAATTATACTTCTCAAGGAGATAAAGTGAAATCTCTTTGGCGCCATAAAGAGGGAAAATGGTCGTCAATAAAAACTTGTACTTCATTACCTCTAAAGACAGTACTGCTACTTCAAAGCATATAAAGTCAAAAGATATTCGGGACACCAACAATTCTCATACTAACAACTTGCAACACAGAAGAGTAGTTCTATGGTTCTTGTGCCACAGAGGATTTTTTTTTATTTTGATAACCAAGAAATCCGTCTGTGACCCACCCTTTGGACCAATCACAGCCTTCTAAACTCGGTGGATAATGGGCCCGCCCCTCTACCCTTCTCCACTTAAATACCGGGCTTCACTTTGCATGGTGTGGGGATTGAACCTGCGACATAGCCACAAATCCTCCACCTTTTGCCACTCGAGCTAGGCCTTGGGGGCATGCCACAGAGGATTTTTGTTCCTCAGTTTATGAAGAAATCCATATTCTATCAACTAAAGAACTCTGAAATTCGGATTTCCACATTTCAGGACATAACAGCTAAATCTGTGCTTCATGTTTATTTGGAAAACTACGCATATCAGTCCTTCAGCTATGCACTTTTGCAAGCTCACAATAGAATGTAAGAACATATCCCTTATGTCCAACCAATCAATATATCTATATGAAGGTGAGCATAGACTAGGTGATATGGCATCTCTTTATGGACAACATTCCTATTTATCTTTTTTTCTAGTATTTGTTACGCATTCTTTTCGTTTAATTATTTTTTTGAAAATTCCAAATTCACTATTGAAGGAGAAGCAGTTACTGGAGAGTCCAACAATCAATATCAATAGCCAAACTGTTACATAAGAGTCCCAAAGTATTAGAAACCCAAACATATTTGTCAGGTTTTATGTCTATATTCTTATTCTCCATGTCCTTTTCTTTTGACCCATATTTCTCTCTTATTTGTCACAAAATCTAGAATTGTTATGCTTTATTAGAAGGGAAAGGGGTCAAAAATACCCCAAACTTTCATTTAACAGTTAGGTTGTTAGGCTTACCCTTCGTTATACTATGTGGTTATTCATACTCTCGCCGTTACGAAACTTAACACCCATACCCTCCAAACTTGCAATTTCCCCCAAATTGACCTCAAATACCCAATTTCAACCCAAATCACTCAATTTAACTTAACACCCATACCCACCAAACTTACGATTTCCCCCAAAATGACCTCAAATCCCCAATTTCAACCCAAATCACTCAATTTCTTCCTTTAACACAATCCGACTCACCTAATCATTTAACCTATTTTTCTTCATCAATAAACATTTCGTCAAAAAAAGAAGTCCCCAATTTTACCATGTATTTCCACTACCACACCAAGAACACCTATAACAATTTACAATACACATTAAGATTGATGAAATAAAAAAGCTTCATCAAGAACATTGTTTTTTTTTTTTTAACTTTTTATTTTGTTATTGACTTGAAAAAGTAAGAAAAAACTCTCTCATGACTACTGCTAGCTCCAGCAATGGCCCTAGCCGGCCATCCACCACGATGCCACTCTCCCCTTCCCTCTTTCCTCCATTTACAGAGCCTTCATACTCGTCTAAAAGTGCCCAGATCTGATCGGATCTTTGTGTTTTAGGCGCTGCTCCGGCAATGCCATTGAAACCACGCCACCCACACCTCCCCCTCTCTCCTTTATTAACACTGAATCTAATCGACGAAATCATTGCTCCGGCGAAGCTTCATTTTTTCCCTTATAAAATTCATTGACGGGTTGTTTTCGTATTATAATTCTCATATCCTATATTGTTTCTTGGTTGCTGCATTGTTACTTTGATAAGGAGAAAAATTCTTCAAAACTCAATTTTTGGCGAAGAAGGATTATGGAAGAAAAAAGAGAATCGGCTGATTTTATTTTAAATTGAAAAAGTTTAGCACAAAATTTAGTTGCATATTATAAAGGCCATTATAAAAGGAGTATACAACTTAAAAGGAAGAACAAATTTTTTTCATCATACATGTGCAAAAACAATTTGCAGAACCATGGCAATAGCTCCAAATGAAGTTCATTTGAAAATGGTTAAATTAATTTAGGTTAAGATAGATAGATGGGTCGGGCATGAGTTTCAATTGGGAATGGGTCATTTTTTTAAAAAAATAATTAATTTGGACATATTTGGGGGTTTGCATCCAAGTAGGGATACGGGTGAGCCATGAATAACCGCATAGTATAACGAAAGGTAAACCTAACTATTAAATGAAAGTAGGGGCATATTTTTGACCCATTTCCCTTATTAGAAGGTAGTTTTAACTTTTCAACATTTATATCCTAAAATTTTATTTCCTTGGTAGAAACAATTATTTTAGACTAAATGTGGGATTAATGTCCATACCTTTATTTTACTTATCTGTGTCAAATTTTTTGTACTTCTCATTTTTCTTCAATCAAATTTATGATTTTTTGTATTTGTAAGAGAATCTTTACCACAACCACATGAAGCGTGGGCAGATGCACTAGTATCTATAAGCAAAGGCAGATCCAGCATTTAAGTCACTGCAGCTATTTGATTGAGATTCAAAATACCCTTCCTCGACACCACCTTCCTCAGAGGTCGCCCGACTGGAATCTTGTACACTTTCCTCGTCTTTCTTTTATTGATCTAACCTATACCTATTTCCTCTTGCTTCGCGTGTCCGGGCTTCAACCTCATATAAAGTCCTATTTAGGAAGCTATGTAGTGTATCACTATACCTATGGGTGAACTTATGAAGCCAATGTCTGCAGCTGCAAGCACAACTCCAAATGTTACTCATCTACCGCTTTATCTTTTGATAATTAGGTGGCAATAACGAGATCTAGCTAATGTAAGAAACTTCGTGTCCACTCAACTACAGTCTCATGACCTGAATTTCCTTGCCTTCTGTGCACGAAGCGAAACACTCTATCCGCCAATGCTAACCAGTTCTTCCTAACCCAACTATTAACCCAGAACCCTAAACACCCAGTTCATTTCTTCAAAGAGTCTGATCTTTTACAGAATACATCCCACAAAAAGAAAAAAAACACATTAAAGCTAGTTCAAATTGCACAATATTGAAGTATGCTTATAGTTATATACAATACACAGCGTCAATTTGGATTATTCAGGCCGGTAGGTTCGGGATACCAGATACTTAAATGTAATAGCAAAAATATACATATATACACACAATGCACAGTAGTCAGTATATAAAGTTCATAAAGAAGTAAAATCAGGAAGATTAGTACCGGAATGTACTTGAATTTGCGTTTAGGTGGTTCCTCCACCGAAACGACGTCGTCCTTAGCGGAACTGTCATTATTGTTCTGGCTCGCATTAATAGGTATCCACTTGAAAAGCAATAGATGAGAGACGTTACTGCCATTAACGCCGCCGTTAGCAGTGGTCCGACTATGGCTGTTACCGGAGCTGGGCGGCGCTCCTTGGATCCATTTCTTCTTCCACCTACGAACCGGACCGGTAAATACAGTTGTCGGTGCGTACCTAGCTGATGACCGGCCGAGACGGGCACCTACTCCATCCATTTACGACGGCGAACCGGTGTTAACTCGGCGGCGAGTTGTTTCTTCTCCGATCAGTCGTTTATGCTTTTTGCTCTTTTTAGTGGAATTTTTTTTCCTTTTGGTTTGGGATGTGCTTAGTTGGGGAGTAAAATAAACAGTTTGCTATTTTTTATGTAGGGATATAAATCTAACATTCTCTTATTATATAAGAGGGAGTTTATGATTGGACATTAATATATAATATATAATATATAATATAATAAATCATTTTTTCTACTATATAACATATATTTATTTTTCTATTATAAGGGAGTTTATATAATATATAATAATATAATATAATAAATCATTTACAAATGACTTAAAATATTTCACATTTAAAGGATATCTAATAAAATAGGTTCACTCTCAAAATTCTATCCGGGTCACTTGGGACAGAAAAAATAATATATATCATTTTAAAATTACCAAAAAAGTATTATAAATAATAATAATTAACAACTTAAAATATCTTAAAGACATTTTAAAAGGATTAATTTTGTAATTGTAATTTCTACTATATAATAAAAGGGAGTTTATATAATATATATTCTACTATTATATAATATCATAATAAAACCCCTTTTATTATATAGTAGAAATAAATATAATATATATATATATATATATATATATATATAATATAATATAATATATAATAATATAATATAATAAATCATTTACAAATGACTTAAAATATTTAATATTTAAAAGATATATAATAAAATAAGTTGACTCTCAAAATTCTATCCGGGTCACATATATTGGGACAGAAAAAAAAACATATATCATTTCAAAATTACCAAAAAAGTATTATAAATAATAATAATTAACAACTTCAAATATCTTAAAGACATTTTAAAAGGGTTAATTTTGTAAGTTTATCCATATCACATAAATTAGGACAAAGTGACCAGCAATGTAAGTTATTTGAAAGTTACATAAAAATATTATAAATCACCAATAATTAATAACTTAGAACATTTTTTTTTTAAATGCAAATTTGGATGACTCTTCAAATATCATTTGTGTCACATAAATTGAGACAACAAAAATAACATATATTGCGTCCATTTTAATTTATTTGTCTTAATTTTTTTTATATTTAAAAATTGCGTAAAAATACTATAAATCATGATAATTGACAACATAAAATATTTCAAAAATAAATACATATAAAAAAATTCGATTAATTCTTGAAATTAATCTATCGTTAAAAATTATGTATAAAATACAATAAATCGTGATTTTGACCACTTAAAATATTTATTAAAAAAACAGAAAAAATAAATTGACTGATTCTTAAAATTAATCTATCAATGTCACATAAAATGAGACAAAAGTAGTAATATGTATTGTTTAATGTGAAATTATTGAAAACTACGTAAAATGTATTATAAATGTTAACAATTAACAACATTTGATTGAATCTTAAAATTTTATCAATGCTACATACATTGAGACAAGTGGAGTAATATATATTAAGTATTTAAAAATTACGTACAGCCATATTGCTTTCTGTAGGCTTCGAATTATCGTGGTCATTTTTTAGGCTGATACAAGTTTTGTACTTTTTTTTTAATATTATAAATCGCAATAATTAATAATTTAAAATATTTTAAAAATATATTAAAAATTTAGTTGGTTTCGGGAATTTTATTTATACTATATAAAATGGGACAAAGGAAGCAACATGTATCATTTACAAATGACTTGAAAAGTATTAAAAATTACAAAAATTACCAATTTAAAATATTTAAAACCTATATAATAAAATAGGTTCACTCTCAGAATTCTTTCAAGCTCACATATATTATGACAGAAAAAATAACACATATCATTTTAAAATTACCAAAAAAGTATTATAAATAATAATAATTAACAACTTAAAATATCTTAAAGACATTTTAAAAGGGTTAATTTTGTAATTTTATCCATATCACATAAATTAGGACAAAGTGACCAGTAATGTTGGTTATTTGAAAGTTACATCAAAATATTATAAATCACAATAATTAATAACTTAAAACATTTTATTTTTTTAAAAATAAAATTTGGATGACTCTCCAAATTTTATTTGTGTGACATAAATTGAGACAACAAAAATAACATATATTGGGTCCATTTTAATTTATTTGTCTTATTTTTTTTTGGGTTTTTTATATTTAAAAAATGCGTGAAAATATTATAAATCATGATAATTGACAACATAAAATATGTTTTGAAAAAAAATACAAAAAATTCCACTCATTCTTTAAGTGAATCTATCGTAAAAATACTATAAATCATGATAATTGACAACATAAAATATTTCAAAAATATTGTATGTGGATAGTCTTATTGTGCCTTGAATAGCGTCAAATAAAGTACAAGTTTGTGATAAAAAAACTTATTCATTTATCCACGCAAACAATCGCTTCAAAATCTCCGTTATTAGCTCCAAAACATACCATTTATATTATTGGGAACATTACCTAGTGTAATATATTTGCGAGTTTCTTAACGATTTTTATTTACCTACCTCAATTATTAATTAAAAAAAATAAATCTGATTTAGGACTTAAGTTTTAACTTTTGCCTATAAAATTCATATCTATAGAACGCACCTTTTTTTTTTTTTTTTTGCCTCTTAAGCTTTCTCGCTTTCACATTGAAAAAAATAATAAGAATAAAAGGTGTCAAGTTTTTTATTATCCTGAGATCGGATAATTTTTTTGCAAGACCTTTCTTATCGTATTGGAGCTTTAACCATCAAATCTGAAATGGATTGGTGTGGTTCCTCTATGTTTATGATACTAAAATATTGAATCATAAACAAAGAAAGACATGAGAAAACAACATAGTCATCGTCCTTTACGAGATGACTTGGTGGATATCTCTTATTGTCCTGGCTACTCACAAAACGTGTTAAACAAATGATTAATTATCTATATTTGGAAGAAATCGAAAACTTTCTCAAAAATTCTATAATATATGTTTGTTCTTTCTTCTCTAATAGAGACTTCATCCGAGTTTGCTCTATTAAGCATAATTTCTAATTTTTACGTATAAGACAAAATTGATAGTCAAATGAGCAAGTTCACTATCTTGAAATATTTTAAACTTTAACCTTATAGACAAAAACTAATTTATGTCCACAACTTATATTGGATGGACAAATAAGGAATTTGGACAACGAATTTTCTAAAACAAAAGTTATTTTTGGAAATTTCTATCAAGCGAGATCGAAAAATCAAGACCACCAGATAGGGGTGTTCGTGGTTCGGTTATTGGTTAAAACCAAAATCAAATCAATCTAGTCGATTTTTTAAATTTCTAAAACCAAACCATGCCAAACAAAAAAAAATAACTGTCGATTTGGTTATTGTTGGTTTGGTTCAATTTGGTTCAGTTTTTCAGGTTTTTTTGATTTGAAAGTAATAATTTTTTTGAGGATATACATATCTCGATAGACACAAACACCTAGTACATGAATAATCCACATGAAAGTTGCTATCAGTTCAATTAAAAAATGAAACAATACTAGAGTTATTATACACGGACAAAGTGTTTCAATTAAGACAAAATGTGACTATCTTATGTGAGGTAGGGTAGGTAAAGACTAAAGTAAATGATTTTGATGGACTTCAACTTAATATTGTAACAGTTGGGCTAAATTTTAAGTGTTGGGCATGAGAAAATAGTAAAGTTAAAGACGCAAGTTAATTAAAATTTTTAAAATATTTGTATTTTATTTATGAATAATATATAAATAATTATAAAATTTATATATCTAATTTATTGGTTCGGGTTGGTTATTTTTGCGGTTGTTTTTTAATAAAATCAAATCCAAACCAAATAGCATCGGTTTTCAAAATTTAAAACCAAATCTACCAAACCAAATCAAATATCATTTTTTTAATCGGCTCGACTACGGTTCAATTTGATTTTTTAACTATAACCATGAACAACCCTACCACCAGAGGCCATTTGTGAAAAAGGTGGACCGGATCTAATTACATGAAATGATCCATTAAATCCAAGTTAAGCCCAAAACATTAAGCCCAAAATGGACAGCTGACATTTTAGGCACCAACATTTAACCCTAGCTGTATATAACAATCTGCTAGGTTTACTGTTAATTCTCTCTTTCTTCAGAGCTTCAACAATGGCGGCTAAGAAGACACTCCGCAACCCAGAGCTAATCCGCGGCGTGGGTAAGTTCTCACGTTCCAAAATGTACCACAAAAAGGGTTTATGGGCAATCAAGAAGAAAAACGGTGGAAAATTCCCTCAACACCAGAAAAAACCAATCTCAGCTCCACCAGCTGAGAAATCCCCAAAGTTTTACCCAGCTGATGACGTAAAAAAACCCCTTGTAAACAAACACAAACCAAAACCCACAAAGCTAAGAGCGAGTATTTCTCCAGGTACAGTCTTGATTATCCTTGCTGGTAGATTTAAGGGGAAGAGAGTTGTGTTCTTGAAGCAGCTTTTATCTGGGTTGCTTCTTGTTACTGGGCCGTTTAAGCTTAATGGGGTTCCTTTAAGACGTGTTAATCAAGCTTATGTGATTGGTACTTCAACGAAAGTTGATGTTAGTGGAGTGAATGTTGAGAAGATTGATGATAAGTATTTTGCTAAGGAAGCTGAGAAGAAGCAGAAGAAGGGTGAAGGGGAGTTTTTTGAAGAGAAGAAAGAGGTAAAGTTCATTTTCTGGTTTAAATTAACTGATTTTAGTTTAAAGTCTTAATTTTTAGTAATTTTCTAGTTTTGTGAAGCCTTTAGATTAACTCAAATAACAGACTTCAACAATGTTGGAATGGATTGACTCCTAATTGTGTGCTAAAGTATATGATGGATTCGCCTCTGATATTAGAGAAGATCAAAATGTAGTGCTTGTTTGAAAGCTACATGTACCAAGAGAAGGGTGAAGTTCAGTACCCAAGATCTTGATTGCCAATGTGGCTGTAGCTAAATGAATTATATTTGAGTGGTTTACTGGCCGGTTGTCGTTCTGCTGTCGACTTATCTGCTTACCGAACTTCTTACATTACCTATACTAGTTGTAGTTATGGAACAGATATGGATAACCCTTTTAAAAATGGATATGGAGAATTAACAAAACTGGTCATCTTAAATTAGAAGTTAAGAACATGCAATATGAGATTTTCCGGTCAGAACTTTTTATTCCTCCTAAATTGTGACTAGCTATTGACATCTAAGATGTTTAGGGGTACCATTGCTTGTGCACTTATAATACAGACACTGTTAATTTGGCAACAAATGTTGATCTGTCTCTGATATTAGAGAAGAGCATAATGTAATGCTTGATTGAATGCTACATGTACCAAGAGAAGGGTGAAGTTCAGTACCCGAGATCTTGATTGCCAACGTGGCTGTAGCTAAATGAATTCAATTTGAGTGGTTTACTGGCCGGTTGTCGTTCTGCTGTCGACTTATCTGCTTACCGAACTTCTTACATTTACACTAGTGGTAGTTTATTTACTCGTAATGGAATTAAATGGATGGAACAGATATGAAGTATTCCCTTTGAAAAATGGATATATAGAATTTAAAAAGCTGGTTATCTTTAAATTAGAACATGCAATATGGGATTTCCTTGTGAAAACTGTTTAAACTTCCAAAGTTTTGACTAGCTATATTGACATCTAAGATGTTAGCAGGGGTGCCATGGCTCTCGTGTACTTATAAAATAAACACGGGGATACTGTGAAATTGGCAATAAATGATTGAGCTGCCTCTAATATTAGAGTAGATCAAATGTAATGCTTGATTGAAAGCTACATGTACCAAGAGATGGGTGAAATTCAGTATCCAACATCTTGATTGCCAATGTGGCTGTAGCTATATGAATTCAATTTGAGTGGTTTACTGGCCGGTTGTTGTTCTCCTGTCGACTCATCTGCTTACCGAACTTCTTACATTCCCAATTTGTTGCAATTCATTTATTTGTAATGTAATTAAATGGATGTAAAGATATGTGGAATTCCCTTGAAGCTGAGTTTAACTAAGATTAGGTTAAGATGGTGTTAATTGATTTTGACTAAGATACTGATGATTCTTTTGATTTGATCTGTTCTTGCTAATTCAGGAGAAGAATGAGCTTCCACAGGAAAAGAAAGATGCCCAGAAAGCTGTAGATGCATCATTGATCAAAGCCATTGAGGCTGTTCCTGATTTGAAGGGTTATTTATCCGCAAGGTTTTCACTCAAGTCAGGCATGAAACCACATGAGCTAGTTTTTTAGGCTAAATATTTCTACAATACTCTTTTTTGTTGAATTGATCTTGTTATCTCTGCCTGTGTTCTGTTTGAAAAGAGTTTAGTTGTTCTCACGAAAGGTTTTGTTGATGAGAATCATCTTAAATTAAAGTATGCAATATGAGATTTCCCTGTTGGAACTATTTATTCTTTATTACAATCTTAAATGTTTCCTGCTCTGATATCTTGCTTCTCTCATTATGTGTATATGTGTACATGAAATAAACTGCACTCAATTTGAATTTGTCAATATGTGATGTTATTCTTGATTGAAAGCTACATGTACCAAGAAAAGGGTGAAATTATGTACCCTTGATCTTGATTTTGCCAATATGGCTGTAGCAACATGAATTCAATTTGAGGAGTTTACTGGCCGGTTGTTGTTCTGCTGTCGACATATCTGCTTACCGAACTTCTTACATCTCCAATACTTGTCATTCATTTTTCTATGACCGCATACACACACACAACAGAGGCACGATATTAGTCCCTTGGATGAGAAGGGTAGAAGAAGGAAATGGCATAGAATTTAGCCTTTTCAAAATGCCCTTCTCTTAAACCAATCATCTCTGCACTTTCCAGGCTGACTGCTTGGACTTCCAGCAGTCCGCGTCTATAAGTGCATACAAGAAAACACTACTAAAATTCTCTGGTTTTTGCTGTTCTTGTGTACCTTTAGCAGACAGTTGAGTTTGATGTGGTGATGCAACTTACAAGTATTGCCAAATCGATTTGTTGATAAGTAGATGTGATAGAGTTGGCTTATTTTGGTCTTTCCTTGTGCTGAAACTCCAATGTTATCCATTTACATGCAAACAAGCTTGGTAGGATTGTAAATTTGCTTTGCATTTATCATCAATCTTTGCAAAACTAGGTTTCAATTAGTTGACAATTCATGCTTTTCCCATCTAATGTTTGTCTTAGGTAACTTTACCTTTATTAAAAAAAATGTTTGTCTTAAGTGAATATATCAATGAACTACTTAAGAAAGAATCAAATTTCAGGGCACCCCTCATTATTTTAAATAGCATTGAAGAACCTATTTACCTTTATGAAAAATGAATGAAGCCATAGTTTATATAAAGCATATTTGTCTGTGTTAGATTGCGTGCTACTCGATTAAATTCATGAAGTACCTGCGTTGACCAAAGTTCTTTAAATATTTCTGAAAACAGATAATAATGTAAAAAGAATGTCTTACCAACTCTCAATAGTTAATACAATGAATTTAGATCAGTACTATCCACATAAAGTATAAACCATGATAAAAACTAAGCCAAAACATAGAGCAAATTAAAATACAACCATTCTTATAGGTTTCTCCAAAAATGTCCCTTTATAATCTCCTTTCCCAAAAATTTCTCTAACCCCTTCTCTCTTTCCTTGGATATTGCTACTTTCTAAATTATATCTATTTCAAATACTTCTCTTTTGAGTCGAGGATCTAACAAAAATAGTTTTACTATCTTTTAAATAGGGGTAAGGTTTGCTTATATCTTACCCTCTCTAGACTCATTGAACATTGGATTTGTTGTTGTCGTTTTTGTTCTCTTATTAGAATAAAATTATTCCAAAATTTCCAATTATGGGTGCTAAACTTTGTTGTCTCAACCAGCCAAATTCAGAAGTCCAAGAACCAAAAAAGATCAAACAAAATAACCCTTGTTCAAGAAATCTTGAAAATACAACTAGTCCTCTTCAAGTTCACAGAACTTTGAAAGATATCCTCTTGGCTTCATCAAATGTCAACCCTAGTGTTTACTTGTCACCAGAGTTCATGATCAATAAAGATAATTTATTTTCTCCAAGAATTAGTATTTCATCTGAAAGATTAGTTGCTGGAGGTAATGTTGGAGGAGAATTAGGGTATTTTGAAGCAATGAGTAGAAGTCCAAGTGGAAAATTGAAGAAGAAAGTGACTTTTAGGTTACCTGAAGAAGCTGATATTATCATATTTTACTCCCCAAATAGCAGTAAGAGTTTTGAACAATAAGAGTGTGTTCGGTATGGAGAAAAATATTTTGAAAAAAAATAAGTCCGTTGTTTTTGGTAATATAATAATTATGTTTCAATCGTTGGAAAAAACCTCTCTAAGATCTGTGTACCAACTTGTCATTTTCAGACTCTATTCGTGTGACATTATAATGGGTATACACTGTGTTTCAATTTTTATTAGGTTGAAGTTGGTTATATGAATTTCACGGCAATACCAAAAATATTTTCTTGAAACTATTTTTTGTTAGAAGGGAAGAAATGATTTTTTTTCCCTTATAGATTAATTTCCTTCACCAGTCCATTTAAAATAGTTTCTAATATATATCTCTGGAATTGTGGTTTTTTTTTTTTTTTTTGGCGGGGTGTGACTAGTCGAAGTAATCAATTGTCACTATAACAAAACTAACTTTTAGCCGAAATAAATATAGATATTAATAAAGAGTACTAAAGTTTTTACCGGCACTAGTTAAGTGTCATTAGAATAAATGTCGCTAAAGGTTTTAGGAACATATACAAAGAGTGCTAATTGTCGCTAAAAATACATATTTAGCGGCAATTAAGCTATTACCCTTAATTAGTTGCTGCTAATGATATTTTTTATTAAGCCTATCAAATTACTATTTTTATGATTTAATATTGGTGATGCAATGCTCTCTGTGTTATTAATTAATTTGTAATATACATTATTAATTTGAGATATTATTCTCGAAGTTGTTCGTTTCCACATAGTACTCCCTCCGTTTTAAAAAGAATGTCCTAGTTTGACTTGGAACGGAGTTTAAGAAAATAAAGATGATTTTTAAATCTTGTGGTTCAAAATTAAAGTAATGTCAAATGTACCAAAATGTTCTTTAATCTTGTGGCCTTAAATATGTCATGTGGAAAGTTGAAGTTAAAGTGTTGCCAAAAAAGGAAATGGGTCATTCTTTTTGAAACAAACTAAAAAAAAAATGAGGCCATTCTTTTTAAAACGGAGGAAGTAACAAACTTTCTAAATTTATGATTAATATTTTCTTCAATAATCTTACAACGCAATGAACTATGAACTATATAAATTGGTGTCCTTTAATTAATATATGTCAATCAGTTTAATATATAATAAGTCCCACCAAGCAATATCACGTAGCAATTATCCTTGTTGATGTTGCGTAAATTTTGAATTCTCATGTGTATTACTTGGCAGAGGCATATGCAGGAGGGGTCATCGGGTTCATGTGAATCCATGCTCGCCTCTTGAAATCATATATAGTAGTGTTATATTTTTAATTTTTTTGTTAAATATGGATGTGTGAACCCACAATCGAAGTATCATATAATGGAATGATGATTGGGTGCATCTCTCAGTGAGATTAGAAATTTGAATTTTATATCTATCTTGTATTATTTTTCTTTTTAAAATTAGGTAACACCTCTCTGAGTGGTTATTGGTAGCACTTTTGGTGTTTTAATTAATTAATCATTTCAATTTTGGATGTATAAATTTAAAATTTCAATTGTTTTCAATGATACGAACCTAAATGTCAAACTGTTTAGATCCACAATTTCATAATAGTGCACCCATCATTCTGAAATCCCGAATAAGCCTCTGAATACTCAGCAGAGAAAATGCATGAGAATTGTGAAATTATATATGTAGAGGTTCATTTTAATTTTGTAACTCTATAGAAGGATTCTATAAATAATTAATTATTTAATGATATTTAATGGGAAAATTATATGAACTAGCAAACTATTAATTCAAATTAAATGTTATAGCTATAGTTTATTTTAATTGTAATTTGCAGCAAACATCACCTTTTTTTGCCATTTGATTCGGTATACAATTATCCATTTTCGATATACAATTAGCCATTTTATACATTTCGGTATTAAATGTATAAAAAGTGTTTCTGTTTGTATAAAGCGAGAGGAAAATGTATATACAAATACAAATACATATATTTTCGTCCTATACACTTATAATTATACAAATACAAATTATAATGTATAAATGAATATATACAAAACTGAACAATTTGTATAAAATTGAATGTTTGTAGCGAATTATACAAATCAAAAGCTCCATAACAAACATAAAATTTGCTATGGGGCGCAATTATGCAAATTATAATTATAACATATAAATATGATTTTTATATTTGCTATATGTGAAAATTGCTCTTGTTTTAATTATGATTAGTTGGTAAAATTCCTAGAAGAAAACCACCAAAAGAGTTTGAATCAAATAATCCCCACGTAGGGAACAAAACAAATCTATGCTTTTATACTATATTCAATATATAGTGATTTAAATAAAATATAGTGAATAAATTTTGTTTTGAGATGCTATAGTTGTTTTCATAGGTTTTTAATTTGTTAGACAATAATTATAGGGATATGGTGACATCAACGATGAAAAGTTGTTTGATACTATGCTTAATTATATAGGTGTTCTCCAATTATTGATACTTTTACCTACTATAAATATTTACTCGTATTCAATATTTATATATAAAAAAAGAAAAAATTAAAGAATTTCATATCATTTGAATACTATACACACCAAATATGATTGATTTTTTACCATTCTATTAGAAGATGACGTTGATTGAGATAATAGTTGAATACCCGAACAACTTCTTAAAACTTATTGATAAATTTAATTTAGAACTATATTTTGTTCTATTTAGACACTAAATCACATAATAAAATGTTTTTATTAGATACTTTCAATTCATAAATATGTTGGGATCAAATTCTTACCATGTCAAAAATGATAACGGCTATTAAAATTAAGACGCAATTATATTTCTTAACTAAATTCACCAAGCAAAGATCATGTTCGATCATAATTCCGATCCAAACAAGATGTTGGCATTAACCTACTATCCTCTCATAGCACCTGCCTCATGCATAATCAATGCTTATCATCATGTCAAAAAAAATTATAGCCGATAGCGAAATCGCAATTTTATTTCTAAAATAAGTCTAACAAACAAGTGTCATATTTAATCATGACTTCGACTCGAGCCACCTTAGACTCTCGTGGATCTTGTCATAGGCAAAATATTGACATTACACAACCATTTAAACACTAGAATTATGATCTATTCATGTTTCTATTCAAGTTTTAGAAAAACTTTTCCGTGTTTTCAAGTCCCACTCTGTTCGCGCTTCATATTTGAACTCGTTAATAAAAATTATTTGAATTCGTTAATAAAAATTCTGACGCTGTCACTGTATTCGTGCAACGACAAATCGTATACACACTATAGTTCAGGTCAGCAATAATTTCACTGAATTTGTCACATGCTTCACATTTCTCAAACTAGCACTGTGATTCTTATTTTATTCATTCATGGCGTATTTCAATAAATTATGTAATCTTCTTCAATTCCACAATAAAAATTCTTGTATAATTCAACCTCCATTATTGTTTCTTCTACTCTGTTTTCAATTTTAGCCGGAGCTTAAAACGGTGCGGTTTTCCGATAAGTATGGGATTGAAATCGTTCGTTGAAGTTCAATCGGATTCCCAATTTCCGATCGAGAACCTTCCGTACGGTGTTTTCCGGCCTGCGCCGGATTTTGAGCCTAGAATTGGTGTTGCCATTGGTGATTACGTTTTGGATCTCTCCGTTATTGCTTCCGCCGGTCTATTTGACAGTCCTCTTCTCAAAAATTCGGATTGTTTCAATCAGGTTTCTCAAATTTCTTCACTTCTTCCGGTTTAACAAGTTTCATTTTACTTGGCTTATGTTGACTTCACCCATCCCTTGAGAAACAATTAGGTGTGTAATGTACTAAACTAGCTTTATTAATGATATTTTAGAATTCTAAATTTGAGTACTACTACTATATGTAGTTCTTCTTTTGATTTTTAATTTGTTTATCTGATTTTGACTTAACATGTAACTTAAAGTGAAAAACACTTTTAAATCTTATGGTCTTAAACTAATTAAGATATGTTGAATGTACCAAAATATCCTTAATTTTGTGATCTTAAACTGTCGCGTTGAAAGTGGTCTTAAATGTGTCACGTTGAAAGTGGTTTTAAACATACAAAATTGAAAGTTGAAATTAAAGAGTTGTCAAAAATGAAAATAGACTAAAAAAGGAAGTTGAACAAACAAATTGAGATGGAGGAAATATTACTTTATATAGTTATTTAAGACTAAATGTAGTATGGAGAATAAGTACTTAAAATGAACAAGTAAAAATGAAATATATTAGTGCTTCAACGTGTTTTGAAAAAATGTGTTTTTTCTCGAAGCGCCTTTGAAACCTTAGCCAAGCACAAATTGCTGCTTTAATATTAGGCAAAAGTGTATTTCAAATTGTTTAACCAAAGAGAAACGGTTAGTCATAAAATCTGAATTTTCGAAGAATGTGAATAAGAATCATAAAATTTGTGAAATAGGAATCAGGTCCCACATGTGGGAATCAGAATTTGATATGTGAGGAAAAAATAGGAAGGGATTCTTCGAGTTTGCTAGTCGTGGTGTTAGAGCCAACTTACAAGCAGTTCGATGAAAATGTGAAAATGTTGATGCAAAGTTAGCCAAATAGAACTTATCATCAATCACTTCCGGTAGCAACTTCACTTTCTTGTTTATTTATAGAAAAAAAACACATTTTCGAAAAATATAAATCACCTGTCTTTCTTGTAATATACTCTACAAGAGAACACAATTGTTAACCATTTTAGTGTTGTAGATTGATATTGTTGGTACTCGAAACTTAAGACTTCGAAGTACTATTCATTTTGGCGATCTCATGTATTACGAGACTAAATCTTGCTTTCTTAATTGTCTTCCGTTTTGTTTCATTGAGTTTTTGGATTGGAAGCCAGAGCTGGTATTGATTTTTCTCATCGATGGTGCAGTCTAATCTCAACAAGTTCCTGGAACTGGGACGTCCTGCATGGAAGGAAGCTCGTGCTACATTACAAAAGCTATTGTCTGGTCTGCACTTTCTTTAGTTACTTTTTGCATCTGTCTGAAGTTCACTATATTCTCGGCCAGAAGAAAGTTATGTTTTCGACTTATTCCTTTGTATAGATACTGAACCAATATTGCGTGACAATGCATTTCTGAGGCAAAAAGCTCTTCAGCCTATGGTAGGACATTTTCAAATTCATCAATGTGTAATAGAGGGCTCTATATTTGTGTTGGTCTGGCTGATATGTAGTTTTGTAGGACAATGCGGAAATGCTTCTTCCTGTTGCAGTTGGAGACTATACTGACTTTTATTCAAACATAAATCATGCCACGAATTGTGGGCTCATGTTTCGTGGCTCTGAGAACCCAATCAAACCAAACTGGTATAAGACAAATGATTAAGCCAGAATTCGTTATCCCAATTTCTAAAGCACTCTATTCTTCCTTTATATGTTCTTTACTCAATGTGATTATTAACTTACTGTCAGGTTTTGTCTTCCTATTGCATACCATGGACGTGCCTCATCTATTGTTGTATCGGGCACTGACATTATAAGACCAAGGTGAGACATATTCTCCGATCAAGATTGAGAGAATCTCAGACAGATGTTAGTTGGATTTCTTCTCATCTTTACCATAGTCATATTTTTATGTAGAGGACAGGATCGTCCCAAAGGGAACTCACCACCATATTTTGGACCATCTCGTAAAATGGACTTTGAGCTAGAAATGGTAAGAGTCCTTATGACTGTTACAATAACACTAGTTTAGACTACCTTTTCAATAATTTTCTGATTTTGTGGTTGAAGGCTGCTGTAGTTGGGCCTGGAAATGAACTTGGAAAGCCAATAGATGTTAATGAAGCTGCAGATCACATATTTGGCCTCGTCTTGATGAATGATTGGAGTGGTATATACATGATATATTTCGTATTGTTTCTACTTCATCAGCTTTAAATGTTGATAACATACTAACTAGACGTCGAGCTTTGCAGCTAGAGATATCCAGGGTTGGGAATGTGTACCTCTCGGTCCGTTTCTTGGGAAGAGCTTCGGTAAGGAATTCTGTGCTTGCTAGTTTCATTGCTCGCATTATTTACAAAAGATAAAAACTTCTTCCCTCTAATTATACGGTAACAAATGTTGTATCAGGCACAACTATATCGCCTTGGATTGTGACTTTAGATGCTCTGGAACCATTTGTTTGTGATGGTCCAAAGCAGGTAGCTTTATTACTTTAGTCACCGCAGAAAATACGCCATTAAATACTAAGACATTTTACATTGCAGAATCCTCCTCCCTTACCATATCTCGCGGAGAAGGAATCCAGAAACTACGACATAGAGTTGGAGGTATTCTAGATTTTCTGCTAAATGTTGTTGGCTGCATGAGTATCTAATAGTGCTATATAATTCCTTAATGTGGATTTCCTTCTGCTTAAAGGTTTTCATTAAACCTGCTGGACAAGAACACTCCTATGCTGTCACGAAAAGCAACTTCAAGCACTTGTAAGAATTCTGTCTCCACCACTGTCATTCTCGTGATCATAGAGTCCGAAGTAGTTATGTTATTGCATTGTTAATATTGTCTTGGTTTCCCCTTAAACCAGCTTGAGGTAGAGATTTAGAAACATTATTTCTTTCTTGGTGGTATAGATATTGGACAATTTCGCAACAACTTGCTCACCATACTGTCAACGGTTGCAACCTAAGGCCCGGTGATCTTCTTGGATCCGGGACTATGAGTGGACCTGTAAGATTTTGAAGTCTTCCGGTTTTCCTTGTTCTTGTCTTCTTAAGTCAAGTTTTAGAAGGTGCTTCTTATGTTGGTCTTGTGAAGTAATGCCTAATATTCCGTCGTCCAGGAACCAGGAACTTACGGAAGCCTTCTTGAGCTAACGTGGAACGGAACAAAACCTCTGTCTTTAGGTGGAGTTACTCGTGTATTCATTGAAGATGGAGATGAAGTTATTTTCACCGGGTGTTGTAAGGTTCGATATACTGATATTTTTTTGTTTGATATAATCAGTAAGCTCCTTTTCATAAGCCTATTATATCCATCACCTAATTGCTGGGATTGAAATTACCCGACATTAACAATGCAAACATGGGACAATTATAACTAAGACAATAAATATACTAAAAAGAGTCGATTGACCGATTCACTAATATAACAGAGAGCATAAAAATATCGATTAGACATGTAAATTTCAGAACTACCACTACATTCAGGGCATTACAAATTGCTTGTTTATACAAAATGAAAACATTAAACGAGCTAGCTAACTCCTTTATCTTTTCTTGTTTTCGAAGTTTCATTTCCTATCTTAGATCACCTATCATCAAAAGTAAGCAATTCTTGAATTTGTAGTTGATTGGGCATTGCAAATTGATGAGGACTTGATTCATTATTGTATGCAGGGAAATGGCTATACAGTTGGTTTCGGAAAATGCTCTGGTAAAATTCTTCCATCACCATACTGAGAACATGAATTTGTTAGCCCAATCCAGTCCTCTTCAATCTCGTCGAAATAAAACTAGGAGGATACTAGCAAACTCGTGCACAAAATTGTTGTACTTGTAACATGTAACGCGAACTATATATGCAGTATCACCAATTTGAGCAATAAAACTATTCGATTGTGGAAATATGTCTTGGCTCCTGGCAGTATGTTCTTATTTTCTGTTGTCATATTTTTTTTTTATCCTTCCAACATTGAGGCCAACAACAGGGAACGGATTTAGTGGGTTGGTTACTGGTTCACGTGAATTCAATAGATTTTGTCCAAATCTCGTAGATATATTAAGAAATATCTATGAATATTTGATAGTGAACCTGATTATTAGTGTAGTATTAACTTGACGTCACTGTAGAAATCATAAACTTTAAATTTTGAATCTGCCTCAATTTTTGAAAGATGGAGCTACTCATTGTCAAGGAAAGTGGTTCCATATACTAAGGCTACTAAGACTATTGCCAATTTTTTTTAGCAAAACTCTTAGTAGGTTTATAAATTTACAGAAGCAAACTGCTCTTCCAATGTTCATATATCATATCTCATCTATTATTATAAGTGGGAAGCTTCTATCTTCAAAGTTAAATTACCATTTTGCCCTTCTCTACAAAAATCTCTTAATTTGAATTTATTTTTACAAAAAAAGAAGAGACAAAAAAGACCAAAAGTCATTACTTTTATTTAATAAAGAACCGTTTCTGTTCTGGGAATTCAATGACCTTCTAAGAGATAACCCCCCATAAGTTTTTCAGAATTGAGAGATTTATTTATCTTCCACATTCAACTCTTTGTTTTCTTATTGTTGAGATTGAAAGATTTTTTTGTCTTATCACGTGTATTTTTTTAAAGGGCAACAAACATTCATATTTTATCAACAAAATCAATTACAAGACGATGCTGAAGAAAGATATCAGCTTAATCTTCTGGGCAACATGAAAACAAAATTTTAATTTAGGGAAGGTCAGCTCTAAAATGGCAAATATCATAAAGTCAGTTGTATCTTTCTAAACATGGATTGATTTATTATCTCTTTCTTTTTTTAGTGTTCTTCATGAATATCTATATGTGTGATTATACATTGTTGTTTTATACAAGGGTTTTGGGATAATAGAATGCCAACTTAACTTTGCAACACCAATTAATTATATATATTTTGCATGCATATTTTATACGATTGAAGCAATGAAAAGATATAATTTCTTTCTTTTCGGTTCGCATCTTAGGTAACTGTTCTATTCAATATTTTAGCACTTCTTATGGACTATCAAACTAATTTTTTCCTGTTTGCTTCTTTTTTTCTCATTTTTTATTTATCAATTGTTTGTTCATTGCAAAAGTCTATTTTTCTCATTTTTTTTATTTATCAATTGTTTTTAACATTTCAAAATCTCGAAATATACTTACTAATGAATACCATTTTCAATAATAAATATTATCTTTGGGATAAAATATAATATTATACTTCATAATTCATTGTACTTAAGTCTCCAAAACATAATTTTCATTTTTATGTTATATTAATTTCTAAATTTTCATTTTTGCATATATTATATTATTATTTTGAAAGTGGAAGCCTTTTAAGTTGAAAAAATGAATTACCGAAATATCCATTATAAGTTGAAGGACATTTTTACTGATTAGTCATGAACTATTTCTTCAATATTCAAGTTATACAAAATTGTAAGAAAACATTTCATAAAATATTACCATTAAATTATTATAAATTTGTAATCAAATTATATTAAATGACAGAAGGACAAATAAGTTGGGAAGTGTAACCATCACCTTATTGAATAGCTTTTATCTTTACGTATTCTTCTAGAATATTCTCTAATTGGTTATGTGGTTAAATTTTTGACTGCTAATTAATTACGTTTGTTTTTAAAAATAAATTTTTTATGTTTTTTTAAATGGAAAAATATATTTGTAAGTTGAATTAGAGGCAAAATCATATAAGACTGTGAAAAATTGAAAAATAAAAGTAAGAATTTTTTAGGTATATTCTTAGGTATAGTACTATGACAGGATCTCTTTCATTTATTCCCTTTATTTTGCTTGATTTTTAACAATTTTAACTTTCTAATAGGTGATGTTATCGTCATATAGAAAGGAATCAACCTCCAAAAATCTTGAAAACAAAGTAAAATGATAGGTATACCATTGTGAATGATCTTTTAGTGTGTTGCATACTTATAATTATAGTTCTATTTCAAATATAATAATTTATTGTTAGATGTAAAATGACTATTTTAAATTGTAAGAGTGATTGTACTATATTACATTGAATTTGTGATACTTATAATGAAGTCATCTCCGATGCATACCGCAAGCATCTAAACATGCACCCCTGGTTATTTGAGTAGGTGCCTAGGAAGCAACAAATTCATGTTGAATGGTGCGTAATTAGGAAATTTGTAGGGGTGTATAAAAAATGAAAAGACAATAATCAGTTATGTATGAAATTTAAAGGGTTATATCACTATAAATAGGCTTGTACCCTCCACTGTATGGAATTCAAATGGATACATCGGAACTATGACAAACATACACTTATGTTTTATTTAGTGTGGTCTTATCTCTATGAATACATTTTATGTATAATTTTATTTTATGTTGCATTTTTAGGCAGATCCTTCTATTTGTATCATTTGAAATGATAAACTTGTATTTTTTTTTATAGGTGTGCTACATAAGTTCTTTCATAAGCTAAATATTAATTATCATAATGTTTTTAGAACCTTTTCACCTCCTAACTTAATTGCAAGCTAAAGAATCATAAAGTGATCATATTCATTAGTAAGTAACAAAGTGATTTGTTAATCATTATATATATATATATATATATATATATATATATATATATATAAAATTTATTTTGATTCGATGAGAAGACTCTTGAATTTTAATTGGTTATGGGAGAAGGTGTAGACAAGAACTCCAAAAATTATTTAGTAATTCTATCCTTCCAAAAATTATGTAGTAATTCTGTCCTCCCTTTTTTGTCCATATGCATTGTTATGATTAAAATTTTAAGAAGGATGTGTATATTGTATTTTTTTCATGTATATTTTTTGTGTGTTTTCTCCCCTATTAGACTTCTTTAGTTTAATTTTCTACGATTTTCTATATTTTTATCAGGCTCAAATTAGTTATTTGTGACTTTAGTGAAAGTTTGCTACTACTAACCAAAGTTCAGATGTACTGTTGGTTACTTTATAACGAATTGCTTTTAAACATTAAAATGCACCCCTTGTTTGGTGTTTCTTGTCACACTTTTAATGATTAATTATTTGTAATTGTTGCATTTTATTTCTCATTACATACATGTTTTCATAGAATTGTAATCGTTCTAACAATCTAAAATAAAATTACATAGGATACACGTGCAACACACGTACCCAGAGACTAGTTATATTATAAGTGGGAAGAACTCAAGTCAAAAGTTAAACGATTTTACCCTCCTATAATTTAAATGTTATAATAAATTTAATTAAAATAGTAATGACTTTTGAATTTTCTTAGATTAATTCCTATATATATATATATATATATATATATATATATATATATATATAAAATAAAATTAAACTTTAAATAGTAACCATAATATTATTATTATTATTATAGTAATAATAATAATAAAAAAAAATAAAATTAAAAAAAAGTGGGTAAGTGTATTTTTACTCTTTAGAAACTAAAAAATTATAAATATAGTTTGGCACATCATTAATTCATTTATACCCAAAAACTTTTCTCATCATTATCATTTCATTAAAAACTAATTAACGGCTCTAGATCTCTTTGGTTCAACTTCATTCTATTTATTTGTTTTTGAAAAAAAAATTACTAACCGTGCAATTCTAATTTTACTCGAAATTTGGCTTAGAAAATCTATATATAACTATATAGTTGGGAAATGAAAATGGTGATTTCACACCTCCAAAGCTCAGCATCTATATATGTTTATATTTTCTTTTTTTCAGATTTTTTAAACTTTCATCCGTATTTCAATAAAATCTCAATTTTCGAAATGATTTTCCTAATTAAAATGATTACAGTATGATTTATGAGCCTTAAATAAGGGAAGAGGAGGAGATTTTGGAATTGAATTACATCTTTCACTATATACAATAATTATATCTTAAATAAGGAGAGGAACAAATTCAATTTAATTGGAAAGAGTAAACAACTTTAATGACTCAAAGAAGAAAATATATAGAATAAAGTTGGTAAGGGAGCTTAGCATTGAGTAAATAAAAAACGGCTTCTCTGCTAAATCCTCCCTGTCTCCCTCCTCATTTTTCTTCACAAATTCAATGAGATCTCTTTGTATCATTTTGCCAATCGTTACTAGAAGTACATATACCATTATAAGTATAAATTATATCTAATTTGCTATTTATTTTTGTCCTTTCCAACTCTCTACTTGACCACTCAACTTTTAATCTAACTATATATAGTGGTCTCTGAGTTCATTCCAATTACATTGTGATAGTTTTTAAACCTTTTTCCATCTTCAAAGAATTCCGTATCACATGTTGAAATTAAATTAGAGTGATTACCAATGATGATGATGATATTATAGTTCTCTTTCTATTTAATTCCACGAGTTGATGGAAATATTTGGTAAGTTTTTATCTAATAGATTCATTATTACTTTATAGTTCGTCTACGATTTTCACTTGAAAGTTATTTTTGTTACTGCAATGATAATAGTGTGTTACAAGCATTTTTCTATTCTCTGTTATTTTTCTATAGAGTAGAAAATGTGGTCAAGAAGTTCTTAATTATATTAACATTTACGCATATCATTTACATATATTATACAATACTTTATAAAAGTCGACACCAAAGTGGCAAAGTGTTAAATCACTTCCATCATTTTGTCAGTTTTCTCTTCTTCTCTCTGTCAATTCTTAACGACAACTACAACGCTCAGGTTATTTTTCCCCATATTTTCTGCTAATTCCCTACCATTTTGAAACTTATACTTATGAGATTACGAATAATGTGATGGTTAATTACTT